ATAAGTCCAGATTGTCCTTATATTCATAGGAAGGCCAGATTTTATGAAAAAGTAATATTCCTCAGTGACTAGGGTGGATCAACACACAAAAAGACATTCTGTAAATATATTTCTAAAATTTGTAAAACAATATTTCCTTTTTCTCAATAATGGACCTAGTTCTTTTTTCTTCACCCCATTATTTCAGCCTCTTAAAAACTATTCTGATTACCCAAGATAGACTTGCATTCATATCAGCTTATCATTTGGAGGGGGGTGTCTCATATGTTTAATAGCCACTCAGTCCTCTAAACTGAATACGAATCTTGCAAAAAATTAAATCAAGAAGGATCTTAATGTTGAAGCATGTTGTCAGTTATAGTTTGTGGACAGATGCACAATTCATTACATATTATTTCACAAAAAGTAAGATTCTTGTGTTCTCTGGCAAGAAGTCACTTACACCAGCATGATGTATCTTTTGGATGAATGAGCAAAAGAAAAATAAGTGAAAAGTGAAATAAATATAAGGTGAAAAAAAACCCTTACCATTATTTGTAAACACACAATAACAATGGCTCAATATAAAAGGAAAAACTTAAGCCAATAAAGTAAACTTTATCTAACATTATTACTGTGAGATATTTGCAAGAATTTTCTCTCAAATGAAGACAACATTTGATAAATGACAAACACCCTGTTTAAAACAGTTAAGGAAATCTAATATGAAAAAAAAAACTTACGGAAAACATTTATCATAAGTAAAAAGTACAAAATCCCCACTCAAGTACCATTTTATATGTTAAGGTTAATCTATAATTTATCAGCTTGACTGAATTGTGAGACATTCAGGACGTTAGTAAATCATACATCTGGGTATGTTTGTTTTGTCATTTGTAAAGAATGACTGGGTCAGCTGGGCGGTGGTGGCGCACGCCTTTAATCCCAGCACTCGGGAGGCAGAGCCAGGCGGATCTCTGTGAGTTCGAGGCCAGCCTGGGCTACCAAGTGAGTCCCAGGAAAGGCGCAAAGCTACACAGAGAAACCCTGTCTCGAAAAACCAAAAAAAAAAAAAAAAAAGAATGACTGGGTCAAGACAACTCTGACCAAATGAGTGGGTTGGGCAGGTTATCCTGGGGCTCTGTCATCATGTATTGAACTCTTCCTGTATGACCTGTTAAAGACCTTTGTGACCACCATAATGTGAACTCTTTGCTTCACAATACCATGATGAACCCAAATAAATCATTTCCTCCTTTTGTTTCTCAGATAGTCACCAAAACAAGAAAATTAACCATAACAAAGAATATAAAGATGAGAGGGAAAAAAATGAGACCACTATTGCTTAAAGACAGTAGGAAGTTTCCAACAATCAACAAAAATTCATTTTTCAATGGTTTATCAATGAAAATTATTGTGTTCATTTTTTTTTATGACTAGCTTGGAACTCATTAGATAGCCAAGGTTCATGGCAATTGAACTCATTGAACTCTTGGCAATACTCTTGCCTCAGCTTCCCAAGTGCTGAAATTAGAGCTGTGTGGACCATGTCTGGCTACCTGTTACTTTAAAAATAAAGAAAAATAAGCCTTATATATTAGACATATATTTTGAGTTAGATACAAATTAAATATGATTGTATATGAAATGAAAACATGACTTCATTGAAAATGTTACTAGGGTTGGAGAAATGACTCAGCAGCTAAAAACACTGACTGCTCTTCAAGAAGACCTGGGTTTAATTTCCAGCACCGACATTGCAGCTCACTGTAACTCCAGTTTCAGGAGATGTGATGCCCTCTTCTAGCTTTCAAGGGCACTGCATACACATTGCACAGACATACATGCAGGCAAAAACACCAATACACATAAAATAAAAATAAATAAATCTTTCTTTAAAAGTCAGTATTTTCAAACTGAAGCCCCTTCACTTCAACAAACCTTGGAGAGTTATCATTTCAACAATTATTTTCAACAATGACCATTTGCTGGACGTGATGTCACACACCTTTAATCCTAGCTATAAGAAGGTAGAGGTAAGTGGATCTCTATGAGTTCAAGACCAGCTTGGTCTTGATAATGAGTTCCAGGACAACCAGGGCTACCTAGAGAGACTTTATATTAAAAAACAAAAACAAAAACAAAAAACTAAAGAGTTGCCATTAGAAACAAAATGTTCAGGGGATGAAGAGATGGCTCAGTGTTTAAGAGAACATACTGCTCTTACAAAGGATCTGAATTCAGTTCCCAGAACTCACATGAAGTGGTTTACAACAGCTTATAACACAAATTCCAGGGAATCAGATGCTTTCTTCTGGCCTCAGGGCCACTGGCATTCATAAGCTCATATGCAGACATAGTCAGATATACATATAGGTAAAGACAAAAAATCCCTGCATTTAAAAAAAAGCAATAAATATTCCATAAATCTACTTTAATATTGAATGACTAATAATCATAATATGCTCATAATTTTTATAACTTTTTTTAGGTGTTAAATTTCTGGAACATTCTATATAAGTTACTTTATATCAGCCTTTCATAAGACATTTTTATAGGACTTGACTAAATGAGGGACTTTTATAAATTTGATATAGTTTGTTACAATCCATAACTTTTGTTATTTATTTTTTTACTTTGATAAGTTTTAATACTGAGTGGATTCTTCAATATGGTCGAACTGAAGACTTTTGCACATCCCATTAAGTTTCTTACCAGATCATTTTCTATTATGTTTGTGAATTCAAGCAAGATGATTAGAAGCATGTCTGCAAACTTTACAGTGATATTCTCTTTGCTACATATTATTGTGTTTACTAAAAATGTTATGTGATAAGGAAGTCTTCAAAGAATCTATTCTTAGGAATTCTCTCCAATGTATCTTTTCATTTTTTTTTTTTGAGGGAACTACATGTACTGAAGGTTTCTTACATTGCTTACATACATAAAGTTTCTTACCAGAGTGGATTTGTTCATGTCTTTGACAATGACTTAAAGAAGAAAAGGCTTTTCCACATTGTTTACATATGTAAGGTTTCTCGCCACTGTAAATTCTTTCATGGCGTTGAAGGGAACTGTGAGCAGTAAAGGCTTTTCCACACTGCTTGCATACATAGGGTTTTGCTCCACTGTGAACTCTTAATGGTGATGAAGAGAACTGTTAACACTAAAAACCTTATTGTGGGGCATTTACCCACAATACCCACAGCTCCCCAGAGTTTTCTTGAGTGTGAGCAGAAGGAAATATTAGCTAGAAGGATTTATATTGCTGAGAATATCGTGGAGATAAACAGATAGAAAATAAATGATAGCCTCGAGAGGGCCTGGAACCTTTTCCAACAGGCCCCGACTGTCTCTGCCCCAGGGTATTTATAGATGCCAAGTGGGTGGAGCAAAAGACCCCCGCCCCCCAGCACAGCCAAGTGCAGACCATCTCAGACACCTGCACTCAGGCCCATGGTCCTAATCATCCTCTATGAGGAATTGCTGGGTAAAGCCACGAGGAACCTGAGAACGGGCTCCCACACCTTACCACACTGATTACATTTATAGGGCTTCTCTCCAGTGTGAATTTGTTCATGTATTCGAATGGACCGGGAGGAAATAAAACTTTTCCCTCACTATTCACAGACATAGGGCTTCTCACCACTATGAATCCTCTCGTGATAGTGAGAGGAACTATGATTGGTAAAGGTTTTTATCACAAACTTTATATACATAGGGTTTTTCACCTGTGTGACATCATTCATGTCTTTGAAGGGAATTACAGTAAATAAAGGCTTTCCCACATTGCTTACATACATAGGGTTTTTCATTGGTGTGAGTTCTTTCATGGTCATGAAAGTTACTCAAATAACTGAAAGTTTTATCACATTTCTTTCATCTGTAAGGTTTCTCTTCAGTTTGAGTTCTCTCATGTCTTCGAATTCTACTCAAACTAGACAAGGCTTTCTCACTCTCCTTTTGTACATATGGTTTCCTCCCAGTGTTAGTCTTTTTATGACACTGAAGGAAACTGTGGTTCATGAAGGATTTACCACATTGCTTACACATGTTTTGTTTTTTTTTTTTCCATTGACAATTTTCAAATGTATTTGAATGTAGCTCTGATTCTGGAAGGCTTTCTCACATTGCTTATATTCATAGGTGTTCTCCTCACCAGAAGTACTCTCATGCTTCAGAATGCATTTGGGATAAATGAAAGCTTTCCTACATTCCTTAACTTTATAGAGACCTCTGCAACATAGCTTATATTTATGATGTTTGTGTCCAGTATGCACACTAATAGGTACACTTTGGGATGAATCACCAATAAGCATATCTTCATGCACATGTCTTTTTTACTCCAGGAAAAGTTTTCTTGTTCACAACTGAGCCTACAATCTGGCTAAAGATTTCTCCACATTCACTACCTTTATGTTCACCCAGACTGTGCACCACTTCACTTCTGTAGAAAAGAGAAAGCAAATTACTAAAATTTTGTTTGGGGCTGGGGAAATGGCTTGGTGGTTAAAAGTGCTTGCACTGCAAGCATAAAGACCTAAGTTCAAATCTCCAGCATCCATGTAAAAGCTAGGCATGGCCTAGCAGTTGGGGGTGGAGACAGATCCTGAGAGCTCACCAGCCAACTCACCTAGGCAAATTGATGAGCTTCTGGTTTAGTGACACTGTCTTGAAGAAATAAGACAGAGACTGATGGAGGAGTACATCTGATGTCCTGCTTTGACTTTTGCATTGGCATACACACCCACATATTCATGTACATATAACACACACAAATGAAAGTTTTGTTTATAATTCATAAGCAAAAAGGATTGCTGGTTTTATGCAGTTTGGGAATTTTTAAAGAAGAATGTAGGTAACCTATAAAAAAACCAATATTGAGATACTGGTACTTGTATGGAGTTTCTTAGTACTTTTATCAAGTTAATTATTTTCTAAACATTGAGTATGTTATTATTAGTTTTAAAGATTTTACTTTCATATTTAAATTATGTGTATGTGCATATGAGTTCAGTGCTTGTGGAGGCCAGAAAAGGGCACTGGATGTGGACTATGAGATGTGGGTGCTCTTAACTGCTAAGCTATCTCTCCAGGCCTTAGTATTTTTGAGGTGAGGTCCTCATATAATATAAACTCACCACCTCCCCTGCCAGACTAACCACCAGAGATTTCAGGCATGTCACCATATCTGCTTCTTCCCCCCCCCCCAAATAATGAGGCATTTAATGTTTCTTATATTTTCTTCTATTAAGCATTTTAACATTAACATTGCAAAATTGTGTTGACAAAACAGCACACATTGGGAGTACATCATCTACTCTTAGACTTGTATTCTGGAAACAGGCACATGAGGATTATGAGTTGCAATGTATCCCTGAGTCATTACTGACATCCAAGCCAGGATGAATAACAAACAACAAAATCACAAGGGTATATGTGAAAATATGAAAAACAAAAAACAGGAATGACAACCCACCACCTTTTCATAGACACCCTTACTTGAAAAGTATAATCACACATGGCCTGATATTTAAATAAACAATGGACCACTTAGAAGATGGGGATCCCATTCTATACATTACAGCAGAAAAATACCTATCACTAAGTGAAAGCACAATAAAACATGAACAAAAGCAACAGAAGGAATATAAAGAGAACAAAATAAACTTCACTAAATGGATTTGCCACACATAGAGCACATTTGAGTATCTACCTCAAATGTTTCAAAATAGAAACTACAATGCAGTGATCTCAATCATGTCTTAAGTGAACATGGTAAGTAATTTACTTCCTTCAAGGCTACAATGAAAAACAAATGAAATTTGATTTTTGTTTTTGAAGCTGAAGACAACTTTGATGTCTAGAGCCTTTACCAAATTATTTACATGAGTAGGGTTTTTCTCTTGTATGAGTTTATTCCCATTTCCTCACTTCAAAATGATATAGTTTTGAAAATATTTACAGCACTAGAGACAAGGCTGAGCAGTTAAGAAATGTTCATTACCAGGAACAAGGTCTGATTTTTGACAACTTCCTATAATTCAAAAAGATCCAAGGGTTTAATGTTCTCAGGAACAACATGCACATTCACACACCCACAAAAACAAACACTGACATCACATAATTACAATTAAAGCAACTCTTTAGAAAAACAATTTTTCATTCATGGAAGTTTTTCTATTGTAAGCATTTGTTCTTGTAACACAGGTATTGAGGCACCTAATGGCTTATTACAGTTTTTCTTCACCATGAATTGTTTTATGTAACCAAAAGCAAGTATGTAGGCATGGAGTCTGAGAAACTAATCCTTGTAATTGGTGGTTTCATTTGGAAAGAATTAGGAAATGCTGCCCGGCAGCAGGAAATATGTTACTGGGCATACCAGCTTAGAGAATTTACATCCACACATTTCCAGGTCCCACTCTTTGCTTCATGCTGCCAGTTAAGGATATGAGTTCTTAGCTTCCTGCTTTAGCTGCCACATCTGACAGTTGTTGCCATGCCACTTTCATGGTGATTCTGTATCCCTCTGTTATTAAGGGCCAAATTAAACTCTTTTATAAGTTGACCTAGACATTATATCACAACAGAAAAGGAACTAATACAAATTCATAAAGTTTTACACCTGAATTAGTTATTCTATGCGATTTAAGACAAGTATAAAATCTGAAAGGGTTATGTTACTGTTTAAATTCATAGTGCAAGTGTTACAGCTCTGGAAGGAATGGTACCCTGTCTGTAGGAAGTTAGACTATACTTTCAGCTGTGAATGGAAGGTATCCTATATAATTACAGCTGTGAGGAGAAAGGTATCCTGACAGGAAGTCAAGCTATACCAAAAGATGTGTTCCAGTGGGGGATGATATCCCTACAGGATGAGCAATCCTGCTTCTCTCTGAGAGACAGCCCTTACAGCTGGGCTCTGCTCAACTCTGTTAAGAGAGGTTCCCAGCAGAGATGTCTGTTGCTGCTCTGCTCCACTCACCTAAGGGAGTTTCCTAGAAGAGGTGTCCATTGCTTCTCTGCTCCAATCCACTAGGGATATTCTGATCCACTTGGGCAAAAGGATGTCTTCACTCAAAACTCATTCAAGATATTTATTGGGGAGGGAGGAATCCAGGAGAGAGTCTGCCTCTGCCAGTGTGGAAAAGGGCAGCAGCCAACTGAACATGCACAAGGCTTATATTGGGGCTTTTTAAGGGCAGAGTTTTTCTAGGAAGAAGATTTATGGGGTGGGAATTGGTTGGATTTCAATCCCTGTGCTTGAATAAGCTCAGAGATTGGCTGGATTTCATGCTCATGGATTGGTTGGTTTTATGCTCAGTTGGTCAAAGCTAGACTGTGTTTCATTGGCTGTGGTTTCAGGGACAAAGTGTGTTTCTTTCACTTGGCTCTTAAAATTATGGCTCTGGTTTCAGGGCCACAGTGTATCTTTCACTGGCTTTGGAATCAGGGACAAAGTGTGCTTCATTAGCTCTAGTTGAAAGGTGTGTTTCTTTAGCTGGCCCTTTTACCCTACACATAATGCTTCATAAGTTTGTTTTTTTTCCCCATGAGATAGCTGGTGCAAACAATATAAAAACGGACATCATAATGCTTGAACAGTTTGTTGACACTGTCAATTTCTTTCTACAGAATAAACACTGTTATGTAACTGACTGTAAGTGTGTTGGCTAAAGATTTTACTAAATACATTATAATAAATAGTTCTCAGTATCATTTTCAGGTATTCAAAGTCTATTGTGATAAGCAAAGGCTTTAAGAAAGTCAATGCACACAAAAATTTTACTCTTGGGTAAAGTGCAAAACTTTATCACACTGACTATATTTTTAGTGTTTTTCTGCAATGACTTTTTCTCATTATTTCAAAGATTACTGATACATACAAAGGATTTACAACACTTATTACATTCATAGGGTTTCTCTCCAGTATATGTTCTTTTATGCATTTGAAGATGACTGTGATATGCAATGGCTTTACCACATTGAATACATTCATAGGGTTTCTCTCTAGTATGTGTTGTTTGATGCATTTGAAGATGACTGTGTATGTAATGGTTTAACCACACTGATTGCATTCATAGGGTTTCTTTCCAGTATGTGTTCTTTAATGCATTTGAAGATGACTGTGATACAAATGCTTTACCACATTAATTACATTCATAGTTTTTTTTCTCCAGTATGTATTCTTTCATGCATTTGAAGATTACCACGCTGTGCAAAGGCTTTACCACATTGAATACATTCATAGGGTTTCTCTCCAGTATGTGTTCTTTCATGGATTTGAAGATGACTCTGTTGTACAAAGGCTTTACCACATTGAATACATTCATAGGGCTTCTCTCCAGTATGTGTTCTTTCATGCATTTGAAGATGACTCTGACATGCAAAGGCTTTACCACATTGACTACATTCATGGGCTTTCTCTCTAGTATGTAACCTTTCATGCCTTTGAAGAATACTGTGATGAACAAAGGCTTTACCACATTGGTTACATTCATAAGGTTTCTCTCCAGTATGCCTTCTTTTATGTATTTGAAGACTAATGTGTTTTGAAAAGACTTTATCACACTGATTACAACTGTATAATTTCTCTCCAGTATGTGTCCTTTCGTGCCTTTGAAGATGACCATGTCGTGCAAAGGCTTTACCACATTGATTACATTCATAGGGTTTCTCTCCAGTATGTGTTTTTTTATGCACCTGAAGACTACTGTGATGAACAAAGGCTTTACCGCATTGATTGCATTCATAGGGTTTCTCTCCAGTATGTTTTCTCTTATGCATCTGAAGACCACTGTGATGAGCATAAGCTTTACCACACTGATTACATTCAAAGAGTTTCTCTCCAGTATGTGTTCTTTCATGCCCGTGAAGATGACTCTCATATGCAAAGGCTTTACCACACAGAATATATACAGAAGTTTTCTCTCCAGTTTGGCTTCTTTCATGCCTTCCATGTCTTCTAGAACTTTGACAATGTTCATCAGTATTATGGTCTTCCCAACAGTATCCTATAGTAGTGAGGTTCCAGTAGGTCTGCAGCATCACATCTTTGTAGAGATTCTTCTGGGAAGGATCCAGCAAAGCCCACTCTTCCCAAGTGAAGCCAACATGAACATCATCATAGGTCACTGCATTCATGTTGTGATTTCCCAGCTTGTCCATGCTCTCTGTTCAGCTACCTGCACTTGCAGCAGACCACATAAAACCACTGGTGCCTTCTCTTCAAAGTCAAGCCTGAAGCTGGCTGCTGGAAGGACCTTGCACTACTTCTGACTAGCAAGTCAAGTGGCTAGTGAGGCCTCACAAACTCCTCAGCTGATCCTGTTTCCTCAGACTGAAAGCCTCTGAGTCCTACCTCTGAAGGTCTCAGCTGAGCTGCTTAAAAAGCCCCATATCTGCTTCTTTATGTCAGAGTTAAATGACATATGCATTTATGCAAAATGCTTTGGTCACCACTATTTTGGATTTTGAAATATTTCCATATATATTAGTGTATTTTTGAAACTTTTAGCCAGGTAGTGGTTGGTACATGCCTTTAATCCCAGAACTCAGGAGGCAGAGGCTGGCGGATCTCTGAGTTCAAGTTCAGCCTGGTCTACAAAGTAAGTACCAGGACATCCATAGTTGTTATACAGAGAAACCCAGTCTTGAAAAGAAAAAAAAAAAAAAACTTTTTAAAAGACTTATTTTTATTTATGTCTATGGTATGTTGCTTTCCTGTACGGTTGTATACCATCTTCTTTCCTGGTCCTAAAAGAATGCATTGAATTCCCAGGAACTGGAGTTACAAAGGGTTGTGAGCCACCAAGTGGGTGCTGGGAATTAAACTTTGTCTTGTCTCTTGTGTTTTAAGACATGATTTCACCATGTAGACCTGGCTGACCTGGAACTTACTATGTAAATGGGGGCTAGTCTATAACTCTTAGACATCTGCCTGTCTTTGTGTATGGAGTGCTGAGATTAAAGGTGGGTGCCATCTTGATTGGTTTAGTCCTATATTCTTGAGTAATTTCTCTTTAATTTGGAAGGGGAAATTACCTTAGTCTCCAGGAAATTTTGTGGTTATCTTCAATATTCTGGCATTCCTGTGCTTGTTCTAAAAATACAGAACCAGAAAAATCACTACAAATTCTACCATAAAAAACAAAACAAACAAACTAGATTCTGAGTAGTTTAATCATATAATGTGACCATTCTTGGTATATTCTCCAAATTGATCCTTTCTATACTGCAAATCATTGAGCAGCATTGATGAGCAAGACAGACTTTTTCTCAGACTGAGAAATAGGGAGTGATTTTACCCTTACCTATAGAGACCAGATTCCTGAAAGTTTCCTCCATTACATCTCTGTAGAGTTTCATCTGAGAAGGACCCAGCAAAGCCCACTCTTCCAAAGTGAAGATGACAGCTATACCCTCAAAGGTCATAGTCTCCTAGAATATACCACAGATTCCCAAGAGAAGAGGTAAGATTCACAACACAGTATATTTAGCATCAACTCATATTTTATGGTTAAAAAACACCTGAATTTGATTCCTGGGACTCCCATGGTAGAAGAAGAGAACCAACTCCCCAAGTTGTCCTCTGCCTTCCACATGCATGCTGTAGCGCACATGATAAATTAATTAATGTAATAAAAATTTAAAAGCAAAGCAGAGTGATAGTGGAAAACACCCTACATCAACCTGTAAGTTCTATATATGCAAACATGAGTGCACATACATTCATATACATTGCAAACACACACACACACACACACACACACACACACACACACACACACACGCTCTAAAAGAGATCCAGTCAACCATGATTTGGAAGGTAAAGAAGCCATCTCCTAATTAATGTCATTCACTTTATAAATACATGCTGTGGGATGGTCTGTATGTCAAATTGCTCTGATTGGTCAATAAATAAAACACTGATTGGCCAGTGGCCAGGCAGGAAGTAGGTGGGACAAGGAGAGA